TAATATAATAGTATTTCCCCTCATGGAGTTGTTATGAGGCTTAAGTAAATTAATCCATGTTCAACACTTAGACTAGTGCCTGTCACATGGCAAGTACTCCATAAATGTTGGCCACTGTCACCACCTGCTTCTCAAGCACATGGTAGCTTTACTGTGCAATTTCTGTTTGCACCCCTTTATTCTGGTTGGAATGCCATCTGAAGTTTCTCCACAGAGCTCTGTAAGTATAATCTCAAATGCCAATTTTCTCATGAAATACTTCTTTGTCCCTGCAGCAAGATGTGACTTCTATTTCCATGTAAACACCCTAGCTCTTATATTCCTCTTCAGTGATTATCATATTAGACCCTACATCAATTAGTCCCCAATTGGAAGGTGAGTTCCTCCTGTCTAGGGCAGGACACTGTGTTTTGTGATACCATTTTTTCACACGGGGTGCCCTAAAATGGTCATCGGATTTATTTACAAATATTATGATGCAGCATATTAAAATATAATATTAGAAGTCCACATTCCAAAAACTTAACTGTTCCCATCTAAACTATTTTCAGGAACTCTCCCTTTTAGTCTTTCAACACAAAAGTTACAATTCTAACTTCCTTATCTATAAACAGAAAGCCTACACATAATATGTGTCTATTATAATTAAGACAAGGATTCCAGGCAAGTAATGGCAGAGGAACTTTTGTCATATTTACTCTCCTGTAGATTGGCTAATTTAAAAAAGAAAAAAATCTATTTGAAAGAACTGAAGAGCAAACAAAAGGGAGTAACTGGATGGGCTTACTTGAAAGATCTCACTGGGTGAGATCCATATTTATATAACTTTTCCCTGGAGGGCACGCCCTAGTCAGAAAGCCGCAATGTTACTGGTTTGAGGAGAGGAGGAAATTTAGGACTGCCAGAGTGGCTGTAAATTAAGAGGGGGAATCCCAGAAAAGAGGGAGTCACAGTAAAAAAAGAATCCCCAAAATCTGTGTATAAGTCCTGTGTATAAGTCCATGCAGACCTCTGAGCTGCATGAGAGCAAAGGAAACTCCAAGAAGTCCAGTGGAAAGTAAGGGCTGAAGTCTGAAAACACACAGCAGATAGCACTTTCTTCTTCTCTTCACCACAAGAACCAGTTTGAGGTTTTAGTGCTGCTAAATTAGATGTGCTTGGTACATACTCTGCACTTGCTCCAGACTTAGCCTAGCAAAGAAACCCCAGCCCCCTCAAGTTCAAGGTGATCAGCCACTAATTTAACTACCTTGTATTATTATGAAAATAAGGAAAGATTATATACACACCTGGGCTAGAGATGGACACTCATCACAAGTTCTTAAAAATATTCAGTTCTATTATTTCAAGAAGACTAATTAGGATTAGGTGAGTGGTAGATGGGAGAAAATGGCTAGTAGTACAGAGCAGACAGAAAAAGCTGCTTGCACTCCATTTAGAATAAGAGAATGTATTAAGTAGACTCAATAAATTATAAAACACTATCAAACATGAATTTATTTACAAACAAAATAAAAACATGATATTTGAACAAACTCTTTACAAAAAAATCTGCCTTTTATTCTTATAAAGAATAGGTTTACTGAAAAAGCAGTTTTAAATGAATGACATGAACTCAATATGATTTTAGAAGTCAAATACACATTTTCATTTTAGAGAACAGTGTCTAACAAAGTATAAAACTTAAAAGCATGTAGAACATATATTCATACATTTTTAAAAATGAAAGATTAAGTTATTCCAGACAGAATTTTTTATAAATCCAGAGTATGTCATGTTTAACTAACATTTGCTTCCAAATGGGAGTCTCTTTTGAGAAACCAAATATTAATTTTCAAACAACTGCATTTGGAGTTCAAATACCTTCATTTGGTAGCTGAAGTTATTCTAATTTAAAAAAAGAAAGTCTTTATTTCAATGTAAATTAATATGGCTGAAGACTCCAGTCCTGAGTTGTTTTGTTTTTTTCCTCCTTTAAATTCATATGCACACATGCATATCAATTTGAGGCATGGTGATAAAAACAGAAAGGGCAGATGGAAGACTATCTGTCTTTGGAAGAGCCAAAATTAGTGTGCACCTCATTTTTCTAACCTATACAAATAAGAAGTATAATCACATTCTTTATGACAACTTTTCTTTCTAAAATGCTACAAATTTGAAGGTAAACTTTGTGCCCTTCTTCCCCAAATCGAGAGTTAAGAATATGGATTCTGGAGTCAGGCTGCCTAGGTATGAATCTCAGCTCAGCCAGTTATTTTGCAATTTCTCTATAGTAAATCTCTCTATCCCAAGTTTCCTCATGTGTAGAGTAAGATCAATAACAGTACTGATCCTAGAGTTGTTATGAGAATTAAGTGAGATAATATGGGTAAAGCACTTACAACAGTGGCTGATACAATGTTATATACGTTTTCAAATCTGTCATCATCATTCATTGTTTGTGGGAAAAGATCCTGACTATGCCATATGAAGTAAACAATGCCATATTGGAAGATATATAGGTTAAATCAGCTACTATATGATATTATGAAACACAAAAGTGAATTTTTACAATTATCTTAGTTTTATGCATTTCCAGAAACATTTCCGGAATGTTATTATAATGAATAACATTACAATAAACAGATACACATGACTATACATTTTTGTGGTTCAAAACAATACAAAACTATTAAAAAAGTTTAATTCAGACTACTGAAGTTGAATGACAAAAACACCTGGAAATGGAGCACAGTATCTCCACCTAGTGGACATTACATTAAAATTTTTATAGTGTTCACCCTTATTTATCACTAGGGGAAAAACCTTTTCAATTAGAAGCACATTTTTTCCCCACTAATATAAGAGAGATAAAAAAAATAGAAAATAAATTAAATACTATATTACCAATACTACCAAACACTGGAGCTAAAATACCTCTTACTAACTTGTGTATCTCAAACTTTTTTTCTAAAACAGGGTAACAGTTCAAAGTATAGTTTTTGTTCAGAAATTTAAAATATCAAAGACAATATAGAAGTCACCAGAAATACCTGATCATGACTTACCAATCAATGTATTATAAAAAATATTAGCTGTAACAAGCATATAACACAGGGTTGTAAGACATGTTCAAGAGACATATTATTCTATCTACTTGCTGTATGATTCTCTTCTGAAGCATTTGATAAACAGAAATCTTACATATAATAAATGGGAAACTTACTTTTTTCTGTGTCTGCTCCCTTGCAGAAACTAAACAATTAGAAAATGTATGTTTTTCAAGAGTTAAAATCTAACCTTTGACCCTAATTTACATTTCAGACAATATAGAATATGTCCAATCTTTCTCTCAAGTAATTATTCTTCAGGAGAGCTACAGAATCCATGCTTTTCCAAGTTAAACATCCCATATTCTTTTAGCCATTTACTTTGCAACCACACTGTAAGCACTAATCATGTTGTTATGCTCCTTTAAACAGTTTCTAGGATTTTAAAAAATGACTACATCCAATATAAAAATAATTTGTGATGAATGGTTTGGCTAGTGTAAAGACAGATTATCAACTTTCTCCATATTCCACTTCTTTTAATAAAAAAAAGTTTCACAGTGAGGCTGTGTATGATAGTCAAAAATTCATAGGTTTGGGAATCAGACCTGTCTTTGTTCACTCAGTGACAGTGTAGACCGTACAAGTCACCTGATCTGCCTGACCATTAGTTTTTCCAGCAGTCAACTAGAAATCAGCATCTACCTCATAGGAATATGAGTAGGATCAAATGAGACAATATTTGTATACCAGCCTGTATGACACTTAAAACATTATAGGTGTTCACTAAATAACAGAAACTATTATTATTACTTTTACTCCCCTTCTTCATCTTGTATGTGCAATACACATACATGTATGGTTCAAATAAACTAAACTGATCAAGTTTCAGTGTGAAAAATCAATACAATGTTTAACATTTTTCTTGTTGGAAAAATGCTATATCTTCTTTTAGTCTGATGGTGACGGACTGAGTTAAAGTTAAATTAACACTAAATTCATCAAAAGCTCATTTTTTTAAAAAGCACAATATAAAGATATTATTGGATTACTTACTTCTCTGTGACAAAATTTCTTACCCTAGAAATAATTTTCAAATCTTAAAGAATTTTTGGATATATGTTAAAATAAATATCTTCAATGTATCCATTTTTATTATAATTTTCTCAACAAGTTTTAGTATATTGGAAATGTTTGTCACCAACATTTGAACACATAAGAAAAATTCTCAGTAAAAGATAACTATGTTATTTCTAGAGCGGTAAAATGTAGTAGCCTAAATAAAGCAATACAATATTTGTAATTGGTTGAAATTTTTTTCCCTTTAAAGTCGTATAACCATCAGGAGTTCTGTTATTATAATTTAATGGTTGAAACTTACTTATTTTAAATAAAGAATAATAATTTTAAAATCATAATCTATTATAGAAACAGCACATAACATATTTACAAGTAAATACATGTATAAGCATTAAATGCTAAAGCAAATAAAACTTTTTAACACTAGGTCAGGAAATTAGATGGAAAAAAGGGTTAAGATGACTCTCATTATAAAACATTATTTGCTTACTAAAATTAGCTATGGTTACATAATATACTTTTCTTGGATATTCACTTCACTCTATACTAAGAACTTCATTTGGTGTATGTTTATTCAATATTTATCATACGACACATTTATAAACTTTATGAACAGATGGCAGGGAATGAGTCCTTTCTGAAATAAGACTAGACCCATGCCAGACACTGAGTTAGGACAAATACCATTCTCATTTGAAATGAGGACCAAAGACTAAACCACTTGCCTTACTGATTCCAGAGTCACAAACAAATATAAAAATCCTAACCCTGATGTTAAATGCTTTTTCTAAAAAGTCCATGGTTCTCAAGTCATATTTAAATTTCCATTAGAAAAAATTTTTCATATTTACATCACACTTCTTGTTTCACTTTTTAAAGAAATTCTAATTGCTGCAAAGTAATAATTTTTCTCTAACCCAACATATATGAATTTATTTATTTATGTGAACATATGTTTTATTTGAAAGTGGGTCCAAAATAACAGTCCACCATTTAAGGGGTGTAAATAAAAATTGTGGATCTATTCTACTCGCCTCTCTTCCAAGAGTTATAAAGAAAATAATGCAAACCAACTGTCAGTTAAGTTGAAACTAGAAATATGTTACATTAAGCTAGTCATTCATTGGATATAAATTACATTAAGCTATTTATATTAAGCTGTTTTATGATAGGCTAAGCACATTCCAGAAATAACTCTAAGATGAGAAAGAAAAGGTCAGATAGCTAAAATAAATTTATCTTGCCAAAATGACATGCTGTGTTTAAACTCAGGAACACTGTATTTCCAAACCATTTAAATATATAGTCAGATGCAGGTCAAAAGATTTCTGGCTATCTACTAAAAGAAAACATAAATAAGAGGAAACATACATTACTGGAATTATACTAACACCTAATGCTACCTAAAGATAATGTTCTATATCTATAGAATTTCACATAAGACAGAATCAGCTCAAAATGATTTATTCCCTGAACCTGAAACAATTTATGGATTAAATCTTTTTATAATATTTTCCAAAATAATCCTACTCACAGACTTTATTAATGATAACTGCAAGTCTCCACAGGGCAATATATATATTTTTTATAGTCACCTTTTAGTCAAGAAGTTCAGTTGTTTAATTTTTAAAAATTCATGACAAAAATATCTACTTGACAACTCTTGAAAACAAGTCCAAAACACAAACATAACTTAGAATATTTCCACAAGTAAGGATCTAAAGACATAGGAATGATCGGCTTTTTCAGTTGTTTCAACTGAATGATTTCACAAGGATGTTTGTTATAGTATCTGGAACACAAAAGGCAAAATGATTTGTTGTGCTGAGTTTGTGATCTCTTACATAATCATTTTATCTGTTACATATCTTGGAAAATTCATCAGCAAATGATGATTTTCAAACTGCCTAAAAAAATTAACCAAGACATTTATCTTAAACTCAATAGTTACTGATAAACATTCCTGTTTTAAAGTAATAAATAGTGAAAAACAGCACCTTTTAATTCATAGCATTCTTTTCTTAAAATGCCAAATACTGTGTTTTATGTACTTTATGGAATATGTGGAATATTAACCTGTGTCTCTTTGAATGTGGATTTTCTCCAAAACATCTCTTACAACAGCAGGGACTCAACACTTAAAAATGAACTGGAACAGTGGTCTCTCCAAAAAGCCGTCTTCTTCAATTATGGGGTGGAATGTATTCCTCATTTTTGCCAGACTAGATCAGAGTGGAAAGATTTTTCCTCTCAGAAATATTCCTAAACACAAAAGCCTTACGTTAGTAGTATCAGACAAGAAAGTTATTTTTCCTAAGTTACACTTTTTTTTTCAGTTTTGACTTTCTGGATTTAGTTCTCCATTATAGTCAATTCATGGCAAAAGCATAATTTCTTTAAGTTTGCTTCCCCATCTAATTAATAAAAAAAGTCTGGGTAAAACACATTTGTCTTACAATCATTGTTATAACTAATGTCAATATACTTTCTAAGTACTGAAGAGTACAACAAAAGAATGATCTGTACTTATTACTCAAAACTATACTTGTAATTTTCAACTGTACATAATTTTATATTTGCAAATGCAGAATACTTTGCAAACCCAATAATTTAAAACCCAGAGAAAGCATAATCCAATATTCAGGGGAAAGTGATTTGTTCACACTTACAGCTAATTTTAAATGTTTAGAAACATAAAATTATGTTAAAAGATGAGTTCTATTCACAGTTGTTAGTGTATATGTTGAAGTTAACATGCCCAAATAATACTTTCCTGTAATGGAATGACAATTCGATGGATATACTCAAAAATAGTAAACATGAAATCCAAAAACACAAAAAAACTCTACTTTAGAATTTGTTCCCAAATCTACAAAATAAGGTTAGGTCAAATGATTTTTCAACTTTCTTTCAATTCTACCTTTTATTTGGATAATGGAATAGAACACCAGGTACCCATTAGTTGTACATTACCTCACAAGTCAGGTTTTTTAACCTGTCAGTAAAAATAAAATTTTATTTAAAAGATCTCAGGAAAGATTATCTCCTGATCCAGCAATCCCACTTACGGGTATTTACCCAAAAGATTTGAAATCTGTACGTCAAAGAGAGGTCTGCATGCCCATGTTCGTTGCAGACTAGTCACAATAATCACGCCAGTTATGGCATTAACCCTAAGGACAGATGGATGGATGAATGAATAAAGAAAACATGGGCTATATACACAATAGAATACTATTAAGCCTTAAAAATGGAGGAAATTCTGTCACTTGCAACAACATGGATGAACCTGAAAGACATTATGCTAAGTGAAATAAGTCCAACACAGAAAGACAAATACTGCATGTTCTCACTTATATTAATATGTGGAACCTAAAACAATGAAATTTAAACAAGCAGAGAGTAGAATGGTGGTTACCAGAGGCTAGAATTTGGGAGGAATGGGGAGATGATAATCAAAGGGTACAAAGCCTCAGTTAGAGAGGAGGAATATTTTTGAGATCTATTGCACATGATGAATATCGCTAATAATTGAGCACTTTACATTTTAATACCACTGAGAGTAAATCTCAAATGTTCCTATCACAAAAAAAATCCAATATTGAGGTGATAGATTAGTTTGATTTAATCATTTCATATTGTATTAAAAAATCATAACATCGCTTTGTACCCCACAAATATACACAACTATAATTTGTCGATCTATAATAAAAATTTTTTTTCAAAGAAATGTCCTTTAGTAACTTTAGTGGATTGAAAAGTGTCCCACAAAAAGATATGTCTGCTCAGAACCTGTGAACGTAAATGTACTTGGAAAAGAGATCTTTGTAAATATAATTAAGGATCTTCAGATGAGATCCTGGATTGGGGTGGGCCTTAAATGCAATGACATTGTCCATATAAGATAAAGAAGAGAAGAGAGAGGGGAAAGTCACTTGAAGACGGAGGCAGAGATTAGAGTGATGTGTCCATAGCCAACAAACTCCAAGGATTGCAGACAACTACCAGAAACTAGGAGAAAGGCATGGAACAGATTCTCCCTTCAGAGGCTCCAGAAGGAACCAACACTACCAACACTTTGATTTCAGATTTCTCACCTCCACAACTATGAGAAAAAAACACTTTAAGCCACCAAATTTGTGGTCATTGGTTGTAAAAGCCCTAGGAAACTAATATAATAACGTATTTCAGAAAGAAAACCCCTGTAAAAGGCATTATAATTAACACAATTTATCTTTGGCCATCATAAATTTCATATTAGGAATTAGTGAAAGAGCTTCATCATTTCTAAATTTTAAACAAAGAACAAGTTGATTCCTAGAGAAGCATATATGAGCCTCTAATTTATAATTTACTATGTGAGTCTATTCTGACATGACTGAATTATATTTACTGAAATGTAAAGGAACTTTTCAATCAAGAATATTACTTGATTAGTTGTAAATATTTTTCCAATTCTTGGCTATTTCTTTTTGAAGAGAATAAATTACATCTAGTGAAGCATCTCAGTTTTCTTAAATGTATATATACATAACATTTCCAAGCTTTTTCAGTGGCCAGCAATATCAGAAAGATATCATGAAATAATTGTAAACAATTTTATTTTCCCCATTATTCAGGCTTTTGAACAAAGCTTCCTCAGCTCTTTACCACTTAACTTCCTTGGATTTGTTATATATGTTTAAGACATATATAAAAAATCTAATGTGATCTGAGGATCCCTGTTATGCCTAAAAGAAATTCCATAAATTTTACCTACTCAGCTGTTCGTCGTGGAAAGTCTAATTATTAAGTCTACTCTTAGAGTTCAAAATATCCCTGACATTACCACATAAACCTCTGAATATCCTGACTATTTGGCCACTGGAAAGTCTTGTTCAGAAATATATAAAAAGTTAGAGAATTAACAAATGTATAGCAAGCCAGTTCACAAAGAAGTCTGAATGTGGTTGGCGGAGGTATGTTAAGCCTATAAACAACATAAGGTAAAACGAAGTAACGAAATTCTAGCAGTTTCTGAGGAACTATAACAGTAAACAAGCATATGAAAAACATTAAATTCCAGAAAATTGATTTTGATTTCAATGAGTCAGCTATACTCCAACCAGCAAATATATAGACTGGAACCAACAAATATTTCATAATTTCATACCTCTGAAAAACTCTTTTCCACACATAGAATGTGTAATGTCTATTGTCTGCTAGCAAGTATTTATGAACATAAGTGAATTTCCAAATTAAAAATACAGAGACTAAGGTAATCACAAAAAACTGAATTCTACGTTTCCAAACTAAACAAAGAAAAGTCTTAATTTTGCTAGGAGACAGTAGGTGAGGAAAGGAAAAAAAAAGAGTAAATGAGAAAAAGTAGAATAGCTGAGGAAAATGAAGACAGGCTTCATGACTACTCCGATCACCAATAACAATTCCACCATTAACCACCACAAAAACACAAAACAGAAATACCAGAAGGATGTAGGGCCAAGTCAAAAGGAAAAGCATATTCAAGTTCTTAAAGGACATGGAATAAGCCAAAAGAAATTGAAGAATTTTTCTGAATTCTGAAAATGGTCCTTTAATAGAGGGAAGCCTTTCTTCTTTCTTCTTTTGTAGCTCAGTTTTCCAAGCTTCAGTTAACTTCTGTGCAATGACATTTCCTGCGCAGAAGATAGCCCAGATGATGTTTGTTTGACGAAACATGAAGCCACAAAATCCAAGCAATGCTGAAGTTTTATGATTTCCATAAAGACACATCAAATATGCAAAAAGAGTAAAAAACATGGATCCTGCTTCGGTATAATAAAGAAAGTTAAAAAAATAAAGTGTGGGAAATACTGCTAATGTTAATGTTGACAAGATTCTCTGGATACTTGAGGCAGCCTTGGAGAAAGAAAAAAACACAGTTGAAATTATTTTCATGATTAAATATACTATTTACACTGAGCTAATGAAGAGATTAAAAAACTACACGAATATTATTTAAATGAAATTATTCCATAATAATTATTTAATTCAATTATGCAATATTAATCTTATTTCTGGCTTTGCAAAAACATTATATACATTTATAAGAACACTTCGTGATACTTTTTAGTTATAGCTATCAGTTTGGAAGCCACTAAAATGACACATTTTAGTGTGTGCCAAAGCTTCTATGGCTTAAAATATTTTGAATTATTTAATGATTAAAGATTTACTGAGTGCAAGACATTGAACTAAATTCTATGGGGAATATGGAGATCTACAGGATACAGTGCAGGTGGCTCCATTTCCCTGAGCTTATGTCTTAGCACCTTCAATAAGTATTCCCATAGCCATCATCATCAATTTCCTTCAAAACTCTACACTAGGGAAAATGTAAATAGGCACATAGCATTTATACTACTATGTACTACAATATCCAATGATCTTAGTATTTTTCCTGAAAATAGTGATCCCAGTCTAAAGTTACATATCTTCTTTTGGCCTTTCTGACAGGCTATTTCAGAATTGGAAAGTGTTCTTATGTTCTTGAATTGTATCCTCTACTTAATCTAAATAACCAAATCAGACCATGCCATTCCCTGGATTAAAATTAAGGTCTCTCCATCACAGACCAGATAAAGTTCAAAGTTCTCTTTATAACATATAAGGACATCCATGACCTACTTCTCCAGCCTCACATGCCCGTACTTTATAATCCTGTAATTACAAACAGTAATTCCCTGCACCTGGTTGCTCAATGCCTTTCTACTTTTGCTTATGCTGTTTCCCCTGCCAGGATTAATTCCCCACACTAGAGCCTTATTTGCTCATCAGAACTCAGCTCTGGTGCCATGTTCTTTTTGAAACCTTACACAATGCCACCCACTGCCCTCCCTCCCAGAGTGGCTACCCTAAGTGCTCCTCTGCTCCCTGTCTGTATCCTCATACCATCTTATACCCACCTCCTTCTCATAATTGATACTATTAAAATCATCTCCTAAAGTTAAAAATAATTATTATAGTTAATATTTCCTATAGGCATTATTCTAAGTACTTTATGTTTATTCTTAACTAATAGTTCTATGAGGTAGAGTCTATTATTATTTCTCCTTAATAAATGAAGACTTGAAGCCACTAAGGGATAACCTGCCAAGGGTAACAAAACTAGTTAAGTGACAGGGACAGAATTCAAATTCATGTAATCTACCTCCAGGGCCTATATTCTTAAGGTACATCAAAATTTCTCAGGTAAACTCTGTTTCCCCTAACAAAAATATAAATTCTGCAAAAAGAATGCCTCATTTATCTCTGTTGTCCCAGTGCCTAGCACATGGAATAAATTTAGTAAATATTTATTCAACTGGTTTGATTTAATAACAAATATTTACTTTAGATTTTACAAATAGATAAGAGATATTCAAATATTTAAATACAATTTTTTTCTAAAATGGGGGTGGAGGATTTTCATTTATCTTTACAAAATATACACAAATACTAAGTGTTAATGACATTTTCCACCAAATCTCATAAAACCGATTCATCATAATTGTGGACCTGACAGACATAAACTTGTAATAAATTATTTTGAAACATACCTTGTTTCTGGGTTGTACCTTGCGGAAAAGCAAATATAGTAAATAGAAGTTGCCAACACTGAAGAGAAGATTAACAAATCTGAGCATCCCAATGGAGCAGACAACATGTTCAGACCATCCAAAGATCCAACGGGCAGGTTTGACCACGCCAACTGACACCAGGTATAAGCCAGGTAATGTAGTAATCATGGGATCCCACTTAAAAATGAAAGGTAGACAATGAAGCAAAAGCTAAGAAGTAATACAGACAGGACAAACATGATGCTAAGTTTCAACCTTACCAACAATCAAGAATTTTAAGAAGTTATTCTATGAGAAGGTTAAATAAAACAAGTCCTTAGCAGAGAAGATGTCTCCTCCAAGGAAAAGTTTTGCTTTTGCTTATATTTTTGCCTCTGTACTTGCTTTGTGATTGTTAAGGTACAAGCAATCAATAGACAACAACTTAAAATTTATTTTCTAAGAACTACTCTTCAGATAGTCTGGATTTTGGTGACTAATTTGCAAATGTTCCAGTTTTAAAAAGCACGGAAAGACTGGTTGTAACTCTGGTAAGTTTAGAAAAAAGTAAGTATTGAGAGACAATGCACCACAGGCTACATAATGACAGCTAACATGTATCGAACCAGGAGTCGTACTAGACTCTCTGTGTTTAACACTGCAACATAACTTACAGTAGTCACTATTATTACTGTCATTTTGCAGATGAGTAACCTGAAAGTCAGAAAACTTCCAAGGTCAAAAAAGTCGTAAATAACAAACAACAGACTTTATATTTCTAACCATACCCAATAATGTGTCACCAGAAGAGGAGGGATAATATATTTGTTTTTTATATTTATATCTACATTCTTGTAGAGTCAAATATATATTTAAAAACCCACGGATAGAATTAGTGCAAATTGCCACTTTTTGGAAGCTGAAGATTGCTCGCTCCATTTCACCCCATTCCATTCCCAAAATACACAATAAGGTGCATTACAGGTGAGTTAAAGCGAAGTTTTCTGACATTTTCAAGGAGCACCCCAATGTCGCTAATCCTGACACTGGGAAAGACAGTGTAGGATAATCAGTAAAAGAAGCAGTAACTCAGTTCCCCATTAAGTATTCTCCCAGATCATTCCTTCTTAAGAGCCAGATCTGCTGTTTATTCACTCATTTAACAAATATTTCACAGGTCTCAGAAACAAGAACAAAAGATTGCCCAGTTCCTTTCATAATTCCAGGCTAGGAAGGTGGAACGGGGTGCGTTAAGGATAGGGATAGGAGAAGTCAGCGCTGGGGACGCCGGGCCCTCTCTAGCCTGTCCTGGGGCGGGGACAGGTTGGGGACCCCACCTGCGAGAGGGAGAAATGGCCCTCACAGTAGCGCTGCGCCTGCGGCAGGTGGAAGATCTCGTCCATGTAGGGCTCTCGCAGCGCCCGGCTGAAGGCGGAGAAGAGGAGGCAAGATACTAAAAAGGTACAGCTCAAGGCAGCCGAGAAATAGTAACCCTCCAGCTGCGCCATTCCTGCCCCCATAGCCACTGCCCAAGAACCCACTCCCGGAAAAATCTGTGCTCGGAGAGCCGAGCTTGAAACTCGAGCTCGAAATGGGCGCCCAAGGCGGGACTGGCCGGACAAGACTCAGCACAGGCGGAAGGCAAAGGATGCTGGGAGAGAGCGGACCCGGAAGGATCGGGTCACTGTTTCCGGAGTGACGAGTTTATGTAACGGACCGCACTGTTTCCCTGTCAATCACATTCCCCGGGGCGCACAGAGTGGTCAGAGCCTCTGGCAGGGGCGGGTCTTGGGAATCGGCCTGCGCAGGAGATGAGCCGCTTGATGCTTTGGAAAGGTAGCAATTTGTTTATGGGCAGTCCGCTTTTTTCCTTCTCGATTCCATCCCTTACCATAAGGTGGCGACGTTTCTCCACGTTTCCAAAGCCCAAGCTCTAAAAATTTGCACATCTCTCTCCCCTAACCCCAGTTATTTCTGTTCTTTCTCTTCAGTGATCCGAATGACTAAAATTTTCAATTCCAAGACATTTCATTCCATCAATTTTGGAGTGTGGAAGGGAAGAATTGGTTGTGGGAGCAAACATTGAGGCTTTCATATTAAAACTTGAAGGAGCAGAGACCCTTCACTGCTGAATGAACTTCACTAGTTAGAAGATTTTTTATGTCGAAAGAGAACTCTTTCAAAATGTGGTTACTCTCAAAGATGATTTATTTAAATTGACATTCGTAGAGCACTCTGATAGCCATATCTCAGTACTTCATGGGAGCTGGGAAGCCAATTATTCTAAAATTTCGGGTGTTTTAGGTAAGGAAAACTTCTCCGTTGCCTGTGAATTTGGTTGTTCTTATTAATATCTCTATGGTAGCGTTCTGTTTTTCCTACTAAATCGCAGGCATGAGGATCTTAATGGGTGGCTCTATGCATTACTTATGTTTTCAGTCCCCAAAATGGCTTTCACATAGTAGGCACTCAAATTTGTAGACTTTTAAGGGCTGTGTAGACTTCATACAATTCCTGTATTCTGGTATTGGGGGTTGGGGGTAAGGGGTGAGTGAAGCTATTTGAAGAATGCTGAAGATAAATTTTGCCCTGTAATTTTGCCTTAAGCATGGTTGGCAATATTTTGTAGAAAAATGATCTCTCAGGTAACCTCAGGTTGCCTTTGGTAAGAATACATCAGAAAAAAAGTCGAGTTGCAAACCTCAGGGTTCTCAATTCAGTCTTTACTTTGGGTAAAAGTTAATTCAGTTTCTCACAATTTAAGGAAGTTTCTCAAATTAAGCTGACTGCCTCCCTTTTCAGTGTCTTCCATTTTCTCAATGATTAAGAGGAGTAGGCAGTGAATGAGTGGGAGAGGAACACTTAAATTACTGGAATAAAATCCATGGCAGGATCCTACTCGGATGTGATGCTTAGCTTTGTTTTCCCCATTATCTCCCATTTTGTTATTGAGTCCATTCTGTACTTATCTATTTAAGTTACTTGTAACTCATCTCTAGATGATTCAGTCTTCATGAGGTTAATATGATCTAGATAATTGTCCCCAGAGCTGGTAAGCTGCTAAATTGTGTTATATATACCCTGCCGTTTATGGACTCTTCCTAGAAATAGTAGGCATTTTATGCCGGTAGATTTTTAAAAATTTTTTTTTTAATTTCAGTATATTATGGGGGTACAAATGTTAAGGTTACGTATATTGCCCATGTCCCCTTCCCCCTCGAGTCAGAGCTTCAAGCATGACCATCCCCCAAACGTTGCACATCTCACTCATTATGTTTGTATATATCCATCCCCTCCTCCCCCCTCCCACCCGCCCGACACCTGATAAATGTTTGTCCTATATGTCCACTTAGGTGTTGATCCATTAATACCAATTTGCTGGTGAGTACATGTGGTGCTTGTTTTTCCATTCTTGAGATACTTCTCTTAACAGAATGGGTTCCAGCTGTATCCAGGAAAATACAAGCGGTGCTATATCACCATTGTTTCTTAAAGCTGAGTAGTACTCCATGGTATACATATACCACATTTTATTAATCCACTCATGTATTGATGGACACTTGGGTTGTTTCCACAGTTTTGCAATTGTGAATTGTGCTTCTATAAACATTGGAGTGCAGGTGTCTTTTTCATAAAGTGACTTTTGATCTTTTGGGTAGATGCCCAGTAGTGGAATTGCTGGATCAAATGGTAGATCTACTTGTACCACTTTGAGGTATCTCCATATTGCTTTCCACAGCAGTTGAACTAGTTTGCAGTCCCACCAGCAGTGTAGGAGTGTTCCTATCTCTCTGCATCCATGCCAACATTTATTGTTTGTGGACTTTTTGATAAAGGCCATTCTCATTGAAGTTAAGTGATATCTCATTGTGGTTTTGATTTGCATTTCCCTGATGATTAGAGATGTTGAGAATTTTTTCATATGTTTGTTGTCCATTATTCTGTCTTCTTTTGAGAAGTTTCTGTTCATGTCCTTTGCCCATTTTTTGATAGGGTTGTTTGATTTTTTTCTTGCTGATTTTCCTGAGTTCTAAATAGATTCTAGTTGTCAGCTCTTTATCCGATGTCAAACATGCGAATATTTTCTCCCATTCTGTGGATTGTCTGTTTAGTGGGCATTTTTTGAAGGGAATAAAACAAGTCTAGACATTTATGCTATATAATTTTCTTCATAATCATTGCCACCAAGAGCTTAAGTTATAAATATATGATCCCTATACATACTGCACGCATCACTTTAAATTAGTTGGAAAATTTCAAGGAAATATGAGTATTTAGAACTACTAGGAATACTAATTAATAATCTACTTGACTTGATTTTATGGAAGAAGCTGAAGTTAAAATAAGTGATTTATTTACAATTACACAGAAAATTAATGTCAGAGCCATGGATATGACTTAGAACATCAGACCAAAAGTAATAAAATAACTGCATAGCCTTATGGCTTAAAATAATTTATAATTTATACTGAACTGAATGTTTCACTAGTCCCAATAACTTTAAATTTACATTCCACTCTCTGTTTCCATATACCAAGTTGAAAATATAGGTCCCCCCCCTTTTTTTAATGTCCACATTGCAGACTAATTACTTCAAAATCTTCAGGGGAGCATGTTAAAAAGCTAGATTCCAGCGTACCATCTCAAACTATTAAATAATAATCTTCACATTTGGAAATCATCAGTGTGAGACATGTTATCTAAAAGTGCTAAGACGCTCTATGGGCTTAATAGAGGTCTTCACAGAATACACCACTTCTTTGTTAGTGAATTACTTACTTTCACTATCTACAATTGATAAAGCTGTTGTCCGTTTTCTCCTCCTGGATTACTACATCTTTGATAACTTATAAAGACCTTCCCATGCACTGCCCCTAAATCAAGATCTCTCATTAAACTAGCTACCATGTTTCCCTGAAAATAAGACCTACCCATAAAATAAGCCCTGGAAGGATTTCTAAGCATTTGCACAATATAAGCCCTACCCCGAAAATAAGACCTGGTGATGGGCGTGGCTACGCAGCATATCTACACAACCCAAGCATTTCGCCACAGAGCGGTAAAGAAGACCAGCAGCCCTTCTCATCTGCCCCCCATTGTGACAGCTACTATCCCAGAGGTAACCGGAAAGGTGCGGGCAGCCTCACCAACAAGGTCGGCTCCCCCTGTCGGGTCCCAGGCAATCCTGTGCATACTGCAAGCTGAGGCTTTGAGGGGAAAATAGCATATCCCCTGAAAATAAGCCTTAGGGTGTCTTCTTGAGGAAAAATAAATATAAGACCCTGTCTTATTTTCAGGGAAACATGGTACCTCTGGGGCTTTTAACTGGATCACCATTAACATTCAACTTATATTCTTCTTTAAGAATTCCAATCCCCATTTTCCATAGATGTTTATTTGTATAAAAGAGTCATCATGAGGGTGAGCAATCTCATCATCATTGCACCTTTGACTATTTTGTGCTGTCCATTTGAATTAGGATATAAGTAGTTATAGCAAAAAAAGTTGGCAATTTCTTTTGGGGTTTTAAGGATAGTTACTGTGAGCAAGAAATAAATCTTTGTTAGTTTAAGCCATCAAGATTTTTCATTTATTACTGCCTAATTTAATGAACTCACAAAACACTGTATATACTTAGCTGTTTGAAACACCCATTACTGAACAGTGAATTTGTCCAAAAGTTGTCTAACTGAAGAATTTGTGTAAATACCCTGTCACTTTGAAATGTTAGTCCAAGAAACATCCTGTCTCTTACTAAGCCCTTTTTCATTTCCTTAAAGAAAACACTAGCCACTTGATAGTCATGGTGATAGCTTACTCAGTTCTAGGTGGCAATTAATTCTAGCCACAGCAAGATACTGTACTCTGGGCCAAAATCATAAATGATTATCTCCAAAATGTGCTCTAGCCTTGAGGTGAATCATAGCATCAATTTAAAAAAACCTAAAGTTTAAAATTAATTAGTGGGCCAGGTGCAGTGGCTCACGCCTGTAATCCTAGCACTCTAGGAGACCAAGTCGGGTGGATTGTTTGATCTCAGGAGTTCGAGACCAGCCTGAGCAAGAGTGAGACCCCATCTCTACAAAAAATAGAAAAAATTAGCCAGGCATGGTGGCATATGCCTGTAGTCCCAGCTACTTGGGAGGCTGAGGCAGAAGGATTGCTTGAGCCCAGGAGTTTGAGGTTGCTGTGAGCTTGGCTGATGCCATGGCACTCTAGCCCAGGCAAGAGAGTGAGATTCTGTCTCGAAAGAAAGAATGAAAAGAAAGAAAGAAAGATAGATAGATAGATAGATAGATAGATAAAATTAATTAGTGAATTAATAAATCAATGAAAAAGGAAACACAAACTTTGGTACAAAAGTATTAGCAAGCATTTTAACTCTTTATTGAAAATATCTTGAAGATATGGTATTCAAATCCATATAACAGACACAGAGAGATGTCTGTCTCTAAAATAAAATGATATTTATTTGGGATTGAGCATTGCAATGGGAACACAATGGGCATTTTCAGGGAGGTAAATGAAGACAAGGGTTTTTAGAAGAAAAATGAGGAGGTTACATAAGTTGTTTTGAGATAATTATCCTTGGCTACTAGGATCTGTAAGAAGGATGGCGTCAGTCCAAGTTTGGACAGGCAGTTGCTGGG